GCATTATCGTTATTAGTTATATAGTACACATTCGATTGAAGGCAGTAAATATTCGAAGGATAGGTAGGTTTGACTACAAAAAGAATAGACATATATGTAGATTTAATTAATAGCACATTATTTGGAGTTATGATTTTCAACTTTGAATAATGTGAATTTTATAGAGTTCATTTGGTCATTTAAAGTAATTAATTATCATATGAATGATCGAGTCAAGAGTCCAAAAGTACTGCTTTCTCACATAGTATATTTGAAATCATAAAAAATAATACAGAATCTGAGTTCACGAAAATCACTTTTTTTCACACTAGTAAATTCTAGTCTCAGAAAGTGAATGACATTTCACAGTCAGATTCAAATATATATAAAACTTTTTAATACTGTGATTTGCATCAAGAATTTTATTTATTATCATGCTTATATTAAATAGTAATCAAATAAAAAATAAAACAACTTATATAATTTATAATTTATAATATATAATGCTATCACTAGTTTAGACTTTTCTATTCTATGTTAAATTCTGACCCTAGAAGCTAAATTTTTGTGACTATCCTTAAAATACTTCTGACCCCCAGAAAGAATAAAGTTACCAAGCTTAATCTGTGCTTGCTTACTGACTTTTTTGCCATTAATCTAAAGAAGAGTTTGAGGAAAGATAGTGCAACTTACTGTAACTGAAACCTGGAGACTGCAACAAACCTTCATATGAACTTTGGTATAAATAAATGATGCATTATATCTTGACAGACTATATTAGAGTTTTTGTTCAGATTAAGCTAATCAGCTATGCCTAGAGTCAAAGACATTTAAACATATGTTTTTACTATTTCTATTCCACCATATCCTATTTAATAGATATTCGATATAAATATCAGATGGTAAAAAAAAAATCTACCTTCTTCTGTATACATAATATAATTTTTTGTATATCTATAAGGATTGTGTTTAATATTAATAACTTCTTTAGGATTGTTGGTTGGGTTGCTTTGATCAATATAATCAGGATCACTAGAATTATAGCTGACAAGCTGACCATTAGCACCACAGCTAACATTAAATTTGAGAATATGAACATATTCTCTGTATTCTTTGCTCATCATCTATTTATAAAAAGCTTCACTATTATATTTGTCATTTATGTTTGGGAAGAAGTTGGAAGAAGTTCTTATTTGCTGAAAATTTTAATGCAATATATAAGGTAAATGAAGTTGGTTCTGATAACTTTACTATTGTCTGCAATTCTCTCATACAGTTCTTTTATAGTCTGCTCTTAATGTACAAGATGAAGAGAATATCTGGTGTCTGAAAGGTTATTGTTTTTTCTAATAATGCATATTGAAACAAGAAGATAGCTAAGATAATAATAATTTTATCAAGCATGACAGCTTTTGTATAATTATAATTAATGCTAAGATCTGAATTTATCAATTTATTTACTTAGTTTATTTGCAATATTATGAATTTGTTTGAATAAAAACTAGTGGTTTATTTGCTAAAAATTTTTTATTTCTCTTAAGTATTTAACAAAAAGGCATGTATACAAGAAATCATACATATATCTTCTTGTAACACCTGAATATATAGAAATAATGGTTTAAGTTATATGCAAGAAATTTACTATGCATAATAATAAATTATATAAATAAATATATATTACTATATTGATTGGTACTATAAACTATTCTTTTTAGAAATAACTCAAAGAAATATAAACAAAAAAATTCAATTTGCTTCATAAAAATTATTAATCACAAATCAAATTAGTGCTAGATTAAAATAATTATAATTTTGTTAATATATATCTAATATAGGATGACACCTTAATAAAACATCACATTTAAATTTCGATCGATGCAAAAATAAAATATTATATTTAAACTTTGTTCTAAAGAAAATTTTAATTTGATTTACATACAGTATATAAGTTAAATAATTCACTATGCATAATATAATCTGGTATCAGTTGTACAAATTAATTTGAGTTAAAATTAATAACGATAAGCAATATGATATAACTTTTCTTAATACACTGATATCTGCAAACATATATGCTTTAATACAACATGTATGACACAAGTTCACAAAAATTTGATCATGTTTTTTTTTAGACTGAATATTTGAAATTCAATAAATATTTGATAGTATATTTAGTATAACAGATCTTAATTTATATTAAGTTACAGCAACAAATTGCACAAAATTAGACATAAGGTTTTGTAATACTCCTCTGCAGAATCATTTCTCATAGTCAATTTTTTATCAACAGTCAAGCAATATTACAGTATTACAAATATATAAAATTCTTTATTATTATACATGATCTCATAATAAGAAAAAATATGAATAAGACTTAAAAGGGCTATAAAAGTAAATAGTATAATGTTCTTTATTAATAGTTTTACTAAAATTCATATGTTGTATGAACTTGGAATCTCTGCCATCTTTGAGATCGTCAGATCTAAACCTACCTTAAGTAATCATCGAATCTAATAGGAGTTAATTTTATTAGAAAAAATAACAAAATAAGCTCAATGTTTGGAACTTATGACTGAGCAGAATTGCTTTATATAGAAAAAAACTGGCATTGAATTTGGGTAATGTAATAACTAATCTTGTATTTTTTTTTCTGACAGGTTTTCAGACCAAACAAATATAAAGTATAAAATAAGCAAGCTTCCACCTACAAAATAAGTTAGCAATAACATTATTTTTTGCTTATATATATTTTTACTTGGTTTACTTGCCTGTTTATTTTTAAAGTAATGGATTTATCATTTAATACAGTTTATGAAGACGATTTTTATCTTACTATGTTTTTTGTATTTAGGAACGAAAATAAGCACTAATGATAACACTATCTCCAAGATCAATAATAATATTATTCTTAACTGTTTTATTTATAGTGAGATCTTTAAAGATATTTTTGAGATAATTGTTAATAAGACTTTGAATGTTAAGAATCTAAAAACTGAAATTAAAAGTATCTGACCAAATTTATTTTAAAAAGATTTTGATCTGTACAAAGTTGATTTTTTTTAAACTAATTATTCCTTAATCTCTTTAGTAAATAATTGTAATGATAAAGGTGAATTCATAAGATCAAATAAAAAAATTTTTGAGCATTTTAACAATGAGTATATTAATGATTATTAATGTAGTGAAAATGGTTCTATTTACCTCCTCATATTCCCTAAAGAAGGATAATTAAATGTAAACTTCTCTTTGACATATATATATATTTTTTATTTTTTTTATTTTATAATAAAAATATTTTATCTGTATATTGTCTTCAGCAACAATAAAAAAATAAAGAGGGGTTCTGTGATCTCGCCATTTTTTACAATGTAATTAATTAGTAAAAACTATTGAGTTAATTTTATTAGTAGAACTAATTTTACTAATCTATGCTTTTATGGTTACTATTGGGATTGAATTCTGATATTTATTTATATAACATAGTGAATTAAACTGAAAAAATATACTCAATCAGTTAACTGAACTGAATTATTTTATATCAACTGATTACAACTGGTCAAAATTAATAATCTCTACTTCTTGTTCTTACCTCGAAAATTTTCAGAGCTTTACTCAAATTTTTGGTTCAACCTTTCTCGTCTCTTATGTCATTCAGTTTCTTTCTGGAATCTTTGCTCTTTCTTGATCATTTACATACTTTATCGATCTTATCAACTAGTTATCTGATTCTCGACTACTTGTACCAGATCAACCGATTAAGAATTTGTTCAACTGGTTATCCAAAATTTATTCGAGTCAGGTCGGTTAACTGATTATAGCCCAACTGGTTCAAATCACTAATATAACAATAAAGATGATAAGTTTTTGTATTGACATAATCATTACTCTCTCATAAACCCTTTATATTATTTCTTATATTTGCTTTTTTATAACATATAAGACAGAGTACAAATCTATTAAAATCAAAATAATTACTATATTTAAAACTATGTTTCAAAGTTAAAGAAATTATTCTAATATCATTTTAATAATATGTTGTTGCCTTTCTTCTGGGTCTTTAAGTAGAACAGAAATTGGTGATCGAGATTTTGATAACATAGACTAAACATTTACTTGCAGTACAAATAAAGTCTTTTCCTCAAAAGATATTTGTGTAAATTAAGCATAGATTTTTTTCTATTCTTCTATAAGATCATCAAGCCATGCAGTACTCAAACCACTTTTTAGTATACTGCAACATAATAACTCTTCATCAACTAATCTCTCCCAATCTGTTAAAAATTTATGATATTTTCTAGAATCTTCTTTTCTCTTTATTCCACTACAATAGAAATGCATATTTCTCTTTAAGTCCTTACATGCAAAAGTAAATTAATTATGTATGCAAAATGGGCCACTGGGCCAACTTTATTGATGCAAAAAATATAAGTATTTTTTACAAAAAAGCAATGTAAAATGCATTAGCTTAGTTTAAGGTTATTTTAGAATATCCTTCCTAAAATGGATTGACCAACAATATTGAAATTTTTTTTGCCCATCCTATAAAAATAAATATCTGAAATTTTGACTAAGAATTAATTCGATTATTAGATTAATGAATTATAATAAGTTTTAACCCACGACCTAAATGTAAATATAACTATATTTTCTACTTTTTTTTCGTTTTTCATGTCCTTTTTCTTTCCTTTCTTTGACATCTCACCACTTTCATCCTCTACAATCGCGTCAATCTTTTTCGTTTTCCGTTTTTTCAAGACTTCACCTTTTGATGTACCCTCACTTTCATTGTCTGTCACTTTACTTGATCTCAAATTACACTTCCTTGAAGTCACGTTGCTCCCAGACGTTTCCCCAATTTCGTCATCTTTACTCTTTTCCATTTTTCATTTTTTCACATCTTGATTCGTTTCCTTCCCTGTCGTTTCCTCTCCTGATATCACATCACTAGATCGTTTTTTTGTATTTTTATCACCAATTTCCAAGTTGATCTCTAGTGCATATTGGGTTATTTTTTCATCGATCTATTTCGGAATTCTCTGACAATCTTCATATTTAGTTGTCTTGTATTTTTGCAGAGGAAATGTTTCAAAAATGTCCTGTGGCACGACAAAGTATAAATTAAAATAATTTACATCCTCTCTCCATGTAAGTAGGTGACAAAGGTCTTCAAGTCCTTTTATCTATACAATCTGAGTTAGTGATAAAAGTGATAACTACAAACTATAAATTTAATTATACCTATTTTCACCTACCTTCATGCCATGTTCCCCTGAGACAGTCATTTGATACAAGTTCAAGGTATTGTTATCAAGGCTAAAAGAATCGATCGATGCAAATGTCTTTAATATTGGTCTGTTATAAAATTCCTTATGTGCATCACCCAGTGTCGAGAACCATTTACATTCCATCTCCTTGATATGCCTTACTTTTGCCTCTGAATTATCATTCAGGCATCGCACCCTAAATTTACCACCTTTTTGCAATTCCAGATGAGAATAATCTTCGAAGAGATTGCCTCGAAATCCAGTGGCCATTGGATGTTTATAGCTACTTGTGATGAAATTGCGAACGCTACGCCTTGCTTTATCTGGATATCTCCGGATCAGTTCGTTAGATATCATCGGGGAAGCAAAGCGATACAAAGGAACACTAAAGTTTGATTTTACATAGATATGTACAAGTCTACCACTAATTGAATCTGTAGGCATTCCATCTTTATCAAAAGAGTTCATACATTTTTCTAAGTCGGCATTAATAATCAGTTGTTTGAATATCACTTGTTGATCATCTTTCCACTTTAAAAGAACTGATCTGGGTATTGGGCCCCACATCTCTAACAAAGACTTGTATAATTTATATGTGAACTCTTCACCTTTGTGATTTTTCTGGGTCTTGTATATATGGTTCCAAAGTGTAAACATTTCATCGGTTTCCCAAACTGACATGAAATATTTGCTAAAACCTGACCATTTGATAGCCTCATTAAATCTTTCACCTCTCGGCGATGTGAGCAGGATCGTATAGGCCGTATATTCAACTTCCAAAGTTTGCGCATCAACTATGAGGAAGTTATCAGGACTATCCAGTGTCCTGCGAAACAGGCTAATATCCCCTTCTTGCACAGTATCATCAGGTAAGAATTGATAGCAAAATTGTTTGTTGGATTGCCAGATTATTATAGCATTAGGATAAATGTAATGAATGTAAAAGAGGAGATATAGACCGAAATATGTCTTTCCGATACCAGGAGTACCAGTAATCACGCAACCATTCTGGGCTGGGCCATTGAATTTGTGATTCATTTCAATTAATTCAAATAACTGCAGATAACAGTTCTGTATAAGAAGCTTCGATCCATAAGTTTTACGTCCCAAAAAGAACACATCATCCGGTAGACACAGCATCCCTCCAAAGCCATTCATTAGTATTGGTGCCAATTTCAATTCTGTTTTCTTCCTATTATCGTATAGCATGCCGTCTGAATCAGTAGTCACACCTTTATTTAGACAGAGATAATTATTTTCAATCGTAAAGTAGGATTCCAGAGCACTTAATTCAGTTTTATCCATATCTTCTGGAATCGGGAAGATTATTTTTGCATCAGGAAGTTTTTTCCAAAATTTGACAACACCGGGTCCAGCTGTGGAATAATACAATGGAAAAAAATAAAGGTGTAGTTAGTCATTTCCATATTTCTTCAACGCAAAAATATAACGCTTTTAATGAGTATAGCTACATAAATTAACAAACCTTGGAGTTTTTGTTTTATATAACAAGAATAAACGTATGAGGCACAAGTTAATAAATGAAATTATAGTGGAGAAAGCAGTATAGGTTTGGAATATTCGAATGCAGTCGTGGTACTACTTACCCTGGTCCTCGCCCTTGATTTTTTCAATCACTTTTGAGATTTTTTCAGCTGGTCCTAGTTTTACATCAGCTTTCATTAATTTATCCATGTTCAGTCTGAGGAAAGTTTCGTCATCAACTTCTTGTTCACGAAGAATATTGAAATGCTTGTCTTCAAGTCCTATATTTTGGTCGCGTAAAAAATTTATTAGACCCTCCGTTGTCTTATATCCTTCAACTTCATTGATTGTAGGAAGTGAAATTGTTTTTCCGGTAGAAGTAGACATATTCACGT